TTCTATTTTCTACCAAAACTACTATTAACAAAAGAACTCTAGCGATCCAGGATTTTATCCTAAGCTGCTATTAAACTCACAAGAGGGAGTTAATAACGAAATAACTCTAGCCATGCTTTTTGATATACTACGCATATGTATGATGTACTAGCAGTTCCTATTTTTTAACTACTGTGTACCAGAGAATTGAATTGGCTATGTCTGCATAAATATGATGTATTATATTATGTCATGAGAGGGATTTCTTCATTTTCAAAACTAAGTTGGATGAGCTTAAAGCACTTATTCACCAGTACAAGTTAAATATGCTTTTAAAAATTTAAATACATTTACTTTTTTAGAGTACATCATCTTTTATTTCTAAAGGAATACTGGGTATGCTCATTTCTATAGCCATAGTACTCCCTCCGTCCGGAAATACTTGTCGGAGAAATGGATGAAAATGGATGTATCTAGAACTAAATTGCATCTAGATACATCCATTCCTCCGACAAGTATTTTCGGACGGAGGGAGTACAAGTTAAACCATCCCAACTCCATAGCAGTGCTACTCCAAACAGAACTGGAATGAATATATATATATTTTATGGATTTTACAAATTCAGCAGGTTGAGCATTTTTTTTTGTGATTTTCATGGTAAATCAAATATTAGAGTAAACTTTCATACTAAGCGACAACTTGACTTAGCATAATATGTTTGTTTCTGAACTTGGTAGATCAAATCACCCAGGAAAGCTAAGTGTGTGCAAGCTAGCTAGACAAGCACACAAGCAAACTGTTGCATTGACGAACAGTATAGTACTCCTACTCTGTATAGCAAAAGGCTCTCTCGCTCAATTTCTTTCAAGTACAGGAAGCCCACGCGCAGCAGCAAGCAGAGCAATAGCGAGCAGCCAACAAACAACAACAGCGAACAGCAGAAGTAGCAGAGGCAAGCAGCAGTAAACAGCAAAAGCGAGCAGCAACAAGCTCCTGGCCTAACCATGTTGGCCCGGATGGTTTTCACTTTCAGTGAGATTTCACTGAAATTCACTGAATTTCATTAATTTCAGTAGACATTGAAATATTAGGTTTCGGTCAAAATATTTCAGCAAATTCAGTAGTACACAGGAAATCAAATATTTTTTAAAAATTTCAAATATTTAATTAAATTCAAATGAATATTTCGGCCTTTTGGCTGAAATGCAAACTGAAATAACTGAATTTCATTGAATTTCAGTGATTTCAGTTGGTGCTGAAATTTTGTTGAAACTGAAACTGAAAACCATGGCCCGGACCAAAGTGGTCTCAGGAGGCATCGCCACAACCATCTCCAGCGACGGCCTGAATGAGAAAAAACAACGCTGACAAAGAAAAGAAGGCACGAGAAGGTAGTGGCGGCTTCTCACCCTGTTGTTCGTGCCGATGCCGGATGGCACGGGGACGAATGACAGCGAATTCAGGACGGCAGCAATGGCGGTTAGTGTCAAGGAAGAAGTACGAGAGACCCACGGCTTCAAATCCTTGGTCCAAAGGAGACACGGGTGGCGTCGCAACGACAGCTGACGGAAGGCAGGAAGGCGGCCTCGGTCCAAAAGTTTGATACATGCTCGGTGTCCAGGAATCGAATCAGAATGACAACCGGAGGTGAACAGAGTTAGGGAAACTACCTAGAATCAAGGACTCACTGAAAAAATGAGGCGATTCACGGCGGCGTCTAGCGGGCCTGCATGTTGGACCCTGAGCGTGGACGTCGAGCCGAACAGAGGGCTGATGGATCCCGCATGTTCCTACGGCTGGAGTTGCAGCTGCAGCTGTGAGCAGCGGCATCCGCGACGGGGTCGACCAGAAGGAGGATCCAAGAGGAAGAGGAAATGGATTGAGGAGGGAGGTAGTGGAGTGGAGTAGGGGCAAAACATGAAGGGGCACGGAGTTGCGGGCGCGTGTCCCGCGAGCTGGCGCTGCCAGCCTGTCCGGCGGGTTCGCTAGAGGGACCCATTGGTCGGTAGCAAAGAGAGAGGTTGAAAGAAACATAAATAAAAGTAAAAAAAAATGAAAATGGCTGGAATATCTCTTCCTCCTCTACTCGCTCATAATCTACTCGGAATTAATTTCAGGGCTCAAAACTCATCAGAAATATGTTGGAAAATTTCACATATGCTACTACTTATATAATATAACTCTCTCAAAATGTCCAAGACTTTTCAGGAGAGCCCTTTTTTAGATTTGAATTCAAATATGCCCTGAGTTTGGGTTTGAACTGTAAGCCAGTGATATGAAATTCTGAAATTCATTAATCTTTTACTAGTGTTTGTAAATAACACACGACTCCGAGATATTGCATGGAGTATGACTTAGACGTGTCAAACTATTTCAAAATTTTGTTTGCAAATAACTCTTGGTTTGGATCAGTTTTTTGCGTCTTAGAAAACATGTATCATCACGAACCATCTATCTATCATCAATTCGTACTTATTTTCATATGTTTCATTCTGTGTTTACATATTTTAATGCACACGCTTTCAATACTTGGCTTGCACTCGGCCTTTGCGTCATTGGCGCAACGAATCATCTAGTTAATGTAAAACAGAATAAGAGTATATGTATGCAAAATCGAAACCTTTAGGTACCTTCTTTAGTTCAACAAAATAAACTAATTTAAAATCCATCATTTTTGGAAGTTTACAAATTTTCCGAATCGGTCGTAAATGTTCCGAGTTTGCATCCCAAAAAGAAAAAACCAATGACAATCGGCGTAATTTATTTAAACTGTTTGTCACTCACTTCATGGTTGTGAAGTGCTGCTCGTACACCCACGGTGGTTGCGTGCCTGCGTATGATTGGAAGAATCCCGGGGGACACCGGTCCTCTTGCCTCTCAGCCCGTCCTTCTTTAGGAACTGCCCGTACCCGCCGGGAGGGATGAACTTGGATGCTGCTCCGGTGGCCGCAGCGTCCAGCTCGTCGTAGCCGCCAATGGCGTCCAGCACATGCACCACGTCCGACACCGCCCGGCAAATCAGCCTGCAATTCGTCGACTCGCCATGAATGTTAGGTTGAATGAAGAGAAACAACAACAAGAAGAAGAAGAATTAGTACCCACCCGACGGTGTCCTGCAACGGGGTGATGGCGGCACGACGCCGGTGCGGCTGGTGAGCCCGAGGGTCGGCCTGATCCCGACCACGGAGTTGAACGACGACGGGCAGAGTATGGAGCCGTCGGTGTCGGTGTCCACATGGCCGGTCCTGAGATTTCGAGGGCCAGGGGCGAGACTAGAATCTAGGCTCCTTACTATAATCTTCAAAATAAGTAATCTATATAGAGAGAATGTGTTATTACTAGTAAACACTTAAGTGTGTTCAAAATGAATATTCATCACAAATAACTTATATATATATTATCAGCTATAAAAAAACTTATATAAATTATCTTTATTTTGATAACTAATAATACATATAAGTTATTTGAAAAAGATGCTCTATGATGCATTCTGAAAAAGATAATATATATAAGTTTTTTTTTCAAATAACTTATCTGAAAAAGATGCTCTATGATGAGTCGGAATTTATGGTAGAAAAACAGGAGTGCTAGTTACTCCAATCCCATTGCAAAATGTAAACAGTTGTTCATTTTTTGAAAGCCTAAAACATTTCTGAAGTGTTTGTTTTTCTCCATGGAGATGGCTTGTATGTAAAAATTCTTTTGCATGTTTGACAGCAAAAAGCACTTACATGAATTTGTGTGTAACAAATTCAACTGAACGTCACACTTATTTGGTGTTAAACTGGAATCATTTGTCTGTTTATACAAACATAAACAGAACAGCAATTGAGAACGTGCCAGGGAGGATAATTCAAACTTTGACTGTAGACCTTGTAATAAAGTACAAGTAATCCCGCAAATGCTTCAAAAAAGAAATCCATTCCTGATCCTGCAAATCACACATTCGATATGGACAGTTGTTACTTAGTTTTGATTACTAAGCTTTATAAAAACCAAAAAAAAATCACACATTAACAATGAAAACATAACAAATTTGGTCCCTTGAAACATTGTGATAGAGATGTGTTTTTCTAATGACAAACCCTTCAAAACAGAAATGAACAATAGGATATGAAAAAAACCCGACAATGATTTTTTTGAGGGATAAATAGAAATTATATTGGGTTGGACCCTCCTCCTTTTTCCGAGCTTGGGACCGGCTATGAATAATATTAAGCGTATGCCTAAAATTAATTTCATAGGCGGAGTTCCCCACCCCCACATCCCATAATAAATCCACCCACCGGCCAAAAGAAAAGAAACAATGCCATAAAACCCAACACATACATATTTTTGGGATTTTTCCTCAAGATAACATGCCTCTAGACTCTACAAAGCAAACATGTTTCTTTACTTAGAATGCACAAAACATCTTTAGCAAAAAAAAAAGAATGGACAAAAGATACTTTGAGAAATAATCAATAAAAATCAAGGAAACTAAAAGAGCATGGTAATAACTAAATATATTTGCTCATTTTTTTGATGGAGAAAGTAGAGCGATAAAAAAATAACACAAAAACCACCAAAGACCAATTATTTTTTGTATTTTTTCATATAATCCCTCCCCCTCATAATGTTTTTTGCTTAAGCCAGGAAATAAGATCAACTAGTACTCAATGAATATTTTGTTTGTTTTTTTTCATACAATTTTTCCATTTTTTTTGTGAAGCCAAGAAATAAGCTCAGTGAGTAACGAGCGTTGATCAATATTGCAGCATGCGCTACGCATATAGTTTGCAAAAGCGCGTCTCCAGTAAACATTGACGGCCTGTAAAACAAGGTGTCACTGTCACACAAAGCATAAGCATGGTAATATGAATGTATAAGAGAGAAAAACAAAATACGTATATGCATGTGCATGTACATACAGTACAGAATTGGAATCTTTAAGTGAATTTCTGTTCAATAAGGGGAAACGACACAAGTGTATATACTACTATGTATGTAACCTGCACGAACGTTCTTCGCTGCGACCACACTAGCAGAGGTCGTCATCATGAGCGCCTTCAGATCAGAAGAAAAAAAGAGGGAGGAAAGGACGATTAGTACATACGATCATGCATTTGAATTACAGTAGTCAGTAGGAGTAGTACGTACCTTCTTTTATGGACCACCTGAACTCGACGCAAAACAGGGGAAGGTTAGGATGGGCACGGAGTGCGTTCTCCAGCGCTGCCTTGGCTTGCTTGGCCTCCCCGACCGTCATTTTATGAGAGTCGACTCTGACTTTAACCTTCCGAAGGGACGGCAGGTTCCCCATGCCTATGCCTGGGTCAAACCAATCAGCACCGTTGTTGCCGGATGCTTCCTCTTTTACAACCGCCCAATGTGCAGTGACATCAACATGTTCAGCCTTGGGCATAGCTCCTGGCTGGAACACGATATTTCCATCCACACCAAAATATAAGTAGAATGATGTTAAACAACGGAAACCATCGCCACCAATGTGCAGCATGCGTTTTCGTGCGTAGGAGCAGCTTAACTCGAGAACACCCAGAGCAGGTAACCTTCCAAGGTTGTCCAGATCCTCCTGTCGCACTTCATAGAGACTGATGTCTAACTTGAAGAGCTGCGACAGATGCGAGGGATTCCTCCTTATCCATGTTGGAAGCGTATCGAATAGTGCATCGTCAAACATGGCAAACTCCTGCAGACATCCCGGGGGCACCCAACGTTCCCCCAAAAGATTCATTGAAGGAGTTGAAGAATCTTCATCACCGGCAACAATTTCTACCCGCTGGATCTTTGGCATTTTCCCTAGTGACTCCACAAAAGCTTCCTCCAAGTCCAGCCACAAATCATCAAACAAAATTTTAAGTTCCCTCAGTTTGACCATGTTGCCTAGCTCTTTTACAATGCTTACCGAGGAAACACTGATCCTGCCCAGCACTTCCAGTGATGTCAGGTTTCCAATCCCATCTGGAGGATCATAGTTCCATGATCCCCTACCAATACGTAGGTACATCAACCTTGTGAGCTTAATCACAGTCGATGGCAGCCTTGTATGTTCAGGCAAATCCAACACCTGCAAAAACTGCAACTTTCCAATCTCTCCCAACAACTTGTCAAATCCTGTTCCACATAGATGTAGGTACCTCAAGTGAAGTAAACTCCCCAATTCTCCAGGGTTAAGATGGTACCCTAGAGAACCAATATATCCATCCAAATGTAATACACGCAAAACAGCAAAGTTAGACAAAGACGGCAGTAGATCCATTGCAGGTGATGCAAATGTAGCAATAGACCTCACTTGTGCTATACTCTCAGGTCTAAGAGGCCTGGTTTGATCTTCTTCTTTTCTAACATTTTGGATGGACAACCTACGGATGATGCCCTGACAAGACATGGTATCACAACTACCATTCACTATAGTAACAAATTTCTCTTCCACTGACAAGGAACAAATTAGATCAAGCACACTATCATGTACACGGCAAGCATTTGCAAGGCCATCATCACTACTGTATACCGGCTGTATCAGACTTCTATTCACAAGCTCATTGAAGTAATTTTCTCCGATCTCATATAGACTACTTTGTGCATCTTCACATTGGATAAACCTTTCGGCAATCCACATCCATATCAACTGAGCTTTCATGATCTTATGATCTTCCGGAAACATGCTTAGATATAGTAAGCATGTTCTCAGATGGGAAGGTAGGTCATAATAGCTAAATGATAGTATTCTCAACATCTCCTCTACACTGTGGTCTTTGGTAAGTCCACGACCAATAGACTCTAGCAAAACCTTCCACTCATCCAGTGAATTTATTTTCTTGTCACTAGCCAAAATACTAGCTATCGTAATGATGGCTAATGGCACACCACCACATTTCTTCAATATATCTCTAGACACTTCTTCAAATTCACGAGGACATCCACTCTCTTGAGAAAATATCCGTTTATGGAAGAGCATTTTGGAATCATCATCACTAAGAGGTTCCATTTGATAAACTTCATCATTAGCAGACGAGCAACATAATTTAGATACACTGACTATACGAGTAGTTGTGATTAGCCGACTACCAAAATTGTTACCCTTAGAGAATGCCCAATTGATAACTGTCCACAATTTTTCATCCCATATATCATCAATTACAATGAGGTACCTATATGGATTATGAGACAATTATTGTAATCAATATGTACACATGGTAAGCCTAAAAGTGTCCACTTAAAGGTAATCTAGGAATATAAAGGGAGAATAAGTTTCTGGACGAAACCATTTATGATAGTTAAGATGCAATGGTTCGAGCACAGGAGATAAAACTTGGACCCCCCCCCCCCACACACACACAATCACCACGAAGGAACTATAGTAGAATTCCCACACAAAAGGACCATAGTATTATCATACTATTGGAAACATGCCCTTGATGCATTAATAAATGTATTTTTATATTACATGTTCATAACTAAGTTTTTCTGTGCAATACTTGCATTGATTCTTGAATATGAGATTCGAAGGAAAACTCAACTACATGTGTGGAAAGTTGATATGATACCTAGTCATGCCTCTAAGACTAGCTCATGTATTGATGATGATCATGTTTTCCTAGTCATGGCCATTGTTAGGATGCTATCAATAAAGATAACAACTTGTTATCAGAACAATAATGTTGGATAGATCCAAGTTATGAATTATTGAGAGATCACATCATTATTATGTTGTCGATACTTTCATAAAGATTTTTGACGATTACTTAGTTCCTTAGACCATGATAATATCATATGCCAACATACCGGATGGTTACTACTTTGGGGTTCCCTAATGTCACACCGTAGCTGGGTGATAATAAAAGTAACTTATAGGTATAACAGAAACATATATTCGGTATCGATACTTTAAGACTGGTATTTGCTCCTCTGATGATGGAGACATACTCTCTGGCGCACTTATTATTACGGTATAATTATCCTATGGCCAGACGTATGCGGTTGATATCACAGAGATACTGGGATACATTTACGAGTAAAGAGAACAAAACCGATAAGGAGGATGACCGACATAGTAATCAAAGTGCCGATCATGGGGATACCAGTAATATCTTGTCTCTGGTTTTGTAACGTATCACGAAGTAAAGGCAATGGTATTCGGGAACAAAAGGTTCCCTCGAGAACTTCATTGTTATGTAGGAGTTAACAAGGGTGAATAGATCCCGTTATTAACTATTGAACAGAAAGTTTTCCGGGTGATGTGCGCTAATTTCCAAACATGTAGGGTCATACGCTTAATGACCAGTATATTTATGATAACTAGAGGAATGACAGATCGAGCACCGAAAGTGTTTTGGATGGATCCATAAATGTTCTCGATGGTCCTGGAAGGGTTTTGGGAATTCCGGAAAGGTATATATAACATGTCTGTTTTTTTTTGTTTCAGGATTCTGAATGGTTCCGAAAACTTCCAAAAAACTCCAAAATATTTTTTGGGAGAGAAGTCTCTCTTGGGCCAAGACAAGAGGGCATTGCCCAGTGGGCCAAATTGGCCCAAAAGGTACCCCCCACCGAATGAAGGAAAGGGGACCAAATCCTACTTGAGGAGGAAACCTTCATCCCCATAGGTAAGCTGGATTTAGATGGGTTTCCTCCCAATTCAGTTTGCGTTGGCTCTAATTTCCTTCTAATCGGGCTAATAAGATTATACTCCTAATTAGACTGAATGCCGCTAGGCTTCTCTCTCTACTTTTCTTGAGCTCTTCTTCCTGGATGTCAGATTGCTGCCAGATTTACTACTTCAGAACGCATGGATACGTCAGAGGGGTCGTCTTCTTTACTCTTGATTGGCGGACCATCTCGGAGAAATTCTCACGGCTGTGAGGTATAACCTAGCTACAGGAATCATCGTGGTTCATTGACAGACTATATGTTGCTTCCACTACTGTGCTTGTCGGTGAGATCATCGTTGCCCGTCCTCATAGTGTTCTGGGGTGTGATTGTGTAGCATATATTTTTTTGCATAACGCATTTCCCTACACATACCCCATTAATACGCACATTAGAAACTAGCTCAACCAAAACGGCAAGGTCTAAGTTATTCATATTTTCTTCCATAATGAAATAATATATGGATATTTTTTTGGCCTATAGTGATTCCAATATATAGAAATACCCTAATAGTTATTTGTATTAATAAAAAGGTGTTATACTCTTTCCATTATATACACCTTTATGTAATATTTAGATCTAAAAATGGTGTATTGCTCAAACGGGCACAAGATAGTGAATTTGTTTGTGCAATTCACTTTGGGTTACCTTCTACTAATATAGTATATCTGAAGTGAAAAAAACTCTGGTGTAGCTCATGCGCACATATAAGAGGTAGGCAATGCAGTACATAATTCTAACCAAGTAAACGGAGGAGAAGATGAGAAGAACTGGTAGCGGGGGAGAAGATGAGAGGAGCTGGCAGGGATGAGAGGAGCTAGCGAAAGGGCCATGAAAATCATATG